GTTGCTGTAGGGAGATAGGATGCATACATATATTACAGCACCTAAGAATTGCATCTTACTTTTCCGTGCAAAAATAAAACATGAAATGTTTCAAGATATTTCTTTAATCATCACGATGACCTACTTAAATTACAAAATGAGCCATGATGTCCCGCTGAGCAGCCATTTTCGCATATCCCTGTCACGTGATTACAACTTTCATTTTTCAAACAATGTCCACTACAACGCTCTCTGCAATCTTTACCAAAGGTTCCAGAAATGCATGCTGTAAGTAAGTAGAAAACAGAAAAAAAAATAATGAAAGGAAAGATTAGTTGCATTAAAAGTAGATTTCTTTTTTACATATGAACCATTAACAGCCTCACAATGTAAGTGAATTACTTTCTGTAGAACTAAATATGGCAATATCGTCTTCTTTTTTCGTTGCCTGAATATTATTCCTAGAATTTTAAATATATATGTAGAAACTACAAAGCAATAATGGACACAGGTATGACATTTTACGTCATTTTTTTTTTATATTCATGTATTTTATTGTTCAATGATGTGCGAATGGAAAGGGCTGAAAATCGTCCCTCTTCACTACATATCAGAGAATCCTGTTTTAAAACAATCGATTTTTATTAGAATAAAAAACTGTTTATTTGTTATATTTCATATGCAGTTTCTGCGTACTATGTATCTAAGTGTGCTAAAATCATACACATGTAATAAGATGAGGATATTTTGTCCCAAATCGGCCATTTAGTGTAGACCTCTTATCAAAAGGTCAATAATTAATGTAAAAGATAAAATACCCTGTGAACAGTTCGATCCCCTCCATCCAAGATTGCAGCCTAGGTCACATGTTCCATCTGTATTGCGACAAGATTGGTTAACGCATTTCATATTGCATCGTTTAGAACAGTTGTACCAATACCAACTGTGGTCACACACTACAAATGTGAAACAAAGCATCAAACTGAACATTAAAAGTAAGGAAAAGCAAACTATACATATACCATGCACATATGTTAGCTGATATGTTGATGTGCTTCGTGTTTTTATATATTCCGTTCTTTTAAGGATATCTTACCTTTATCACATTTTGATCCCAAATATCCAGCTTTACATCCGCTTTTACAATATCCGGTCACGTGATCACAGCTTCCATTACAATTGACGTTGCATTCTTCTTCACACTTTCTGCCGTAAAATCCTGTTTTGCACTCTTTAATAAAAGTAGTGTAAATACTTGTTTAATGGTCCTTTGTTTTGATTTAATTTTTTTTTTTCAAATAAATGTCTATTGTTTTGGAAAAAGTGATGGATATAAAATACAAAATATCAAATGAAAAATGTATGATTACCTGTGGCACAGAGATTCCCTGAATTTGACTAACATATAAATTTTAATAATTTCAAAAAAAAAAAATTAAACCTTTATGCAAGAAAAAGTTTCTGCAAACCTTTTAGGGACTTTGAAACATTTGAATGAAATGGTGATGAAGTGTGATAATATTAAAATCAAATTTGATATGTTTATCCCAGTAAGTGCATGACCAATCCTTGATATGAATACCTGAGGAACAGAAGGGGCCCATCCAACCAGGCGTACATCCAAGATCACAAGTACCAGTTGCATGGTGACAAGACTGATTAAAGCAGTTTAAATTGCATCTTTCAGAACAGTTGTACCAATACCAACTGTGGTCGCACACTACAAATGTGAAATAAAGCATCAAATCGAGCATTTAAAGTAAGGAAAAACAAACTATACATATACCATGTACATGTGTTGGCGGAAATGTTGATGCACTTCGTGTTTTTGATATTCCGTTCTTTCTAGGATATCCTACCTTTATCACATTTTGATCCTAGATATCCAGCTTTACATCCACTATTACAATATCCGGTCACGTGATCACAACTTCCGTTACAATTGACGTTGCATTCTTCTTCACACTTTCTGCCGTAGAATCCTGTTTTGCACTCTTTAATAAAAGTAGTGTAAATACTTGTTTAATGGTCCTTTGTTTTGATTTAATTCTTTTTCAAATAAATTTCTATTGTTTTGGAAAAAGTGATGGATATAAAATACAAAATAATAAATGAAAAATGTATGATTACCTGTGGCACAGAGTTTACCTGAATAATCGTGTTATTTGACTAACATATAACTTTTAATAATTTCAAAACAAAAATTAAACCTTTATGCATGAAAAAGTTTCTGCAAACCTTTTAGAGACTTTGAAATATTTGAATGAAATGGTGATGAAGTGTGATAATATTAAAATCAAATTTGATTTGTTTATCCCAGTAAGTGCATGACCAATCCTTGATATGAATACCTGAGGAACAGAAGGGGCCCATCCAACCAGGCGTACATCCAAGATCACAAGTACCAGTTGCATGGTGACAAGACTGATTAAAGCAGTTTAAATTGCATCTTTCAGAACAGTTGTACCAATACCAACTGTGGTCGCACACTACAAATGTGAAATAAAGCATCAAATCGAGCATTTAAAGTAAGGAAAAACAAACTATACATATACCATGTACATGTGTTGGCGGAAATGTTGATGCACTTCGTGTTTTTGATATTCCGTTCTTTCTAGGATATCCTACCTTTATCACATTTTGATCCTAGATATCCAGCTTTACATCCACTATTACAATATCCGGTCACGTGATCACAACTTCCGTTACAATTGACGTTGCATTCTTCTTCACACTTTCTGCCGTAGAATCCTGTTTTGCACTCTTTAATAAAAGTAGTGTAAATACTTGTTTAATGGTCCTTTGTTTTGATTTAATTTTTTTTTTCAAATAAATGACTATTGTTTTGGAAAAAGTGATGGATATAAAATACAAAATATTAAATGATAAATGTATGATTACCTGTGGCACAGAGTTTACCAGAATAATCGAGTTATTTGACTAACATATAACTTTCAATAATTTCAAAAAAGAATTAAACGTTTATGCATGAAAAAGTTTCTGCAAACCTTTTAGGGACTTTGAAATATTTGAATGAAATGGTGATGAAGTGTGATAATATTAAAAATAAATTTGATTTGTTTATCCCAGTAAGTGCATGACCAATCCTTGATATGAATACCTGAGGAACAGAATGGGCCCATCCAACCTGGTGTACATCCAAGGTCACAAGTACCAGTTGCATGGTGACAAGACTGATTAAAGCAGTTTATATTGCATCTTTTAGAACAGTTGTACCAATACCAACTGTGGTCGCATACTTAGAATGCAAATTAAAGAAACTGCCTCATTATGTATGTATGGAAATTTTAAATAATCTACTTTAAAAGTGCTTCTATTTTCCATTTTCTCAGGTCAAAATATCTCCTTTTTGATCCCTTACCGTCATTACATTTCAAGCCAAAATACCCAGCCTTGCAACCAGATTTACAATCTCCGCTCACGTGATCACAACTTCCGTTACAATTTATATTACATTTTTTTGCACACTTCCCGCCATAGAATCCTGATTCACATTCTTTAAAATAACAAAATCCCAATATAAAGTGTTAAACTTGTTGTATACTCGTTTTATTTTAATAGCGATCAATATAATTCTTTTTTTTAAATAGAATTAAATTTTAAAAATGTTAAAATTTCAAGTGTATAAGATGATAACCTGTGGCACAAAGATCCCCAGAGAACCCTGGTTCACAACCAGTGTCACATACGCCAGTAACTCCATCACAGGGTTTGTTATCCAAACATTTTCCACTACAATTTATCGCACAGTTCTCACCGTATCTTCCATGTGAACATGCTAAAAATGAATAATGAATTGGAATGGGATCCATTACCATGGACCACCGTGAAAAGGAAAGACTAAATCTGATTCTACATGCATCAATCACGAATAAGTGAACGTAATGTTCAAGAAATGTCATATCAACTAAATACCTCTGTCACATCTTTCATCTTCCCACCCAGCTGCACACCCATTAATACATTTACCGTCAATATGGTTACAGGATTGATTGTGAACACAATGTTCCGAGCAATGTGAGGAGCATTCCACTCCATAAAAACCATGCATGCATTCTAAAGATATATGAATCATAATAAATATTTCTTTAAAAAGCACATATATCTGAAATATATAAAAATAAAATTTCGATTTCTAAATGAACAAAATAAGGTATGGTATAAACACGTATATAATTGGGGTGGGCATAAAAATATATAAAAATTACGAAGATTAACGGTCACGTTCAGAACAAGAGGCCCATGAACTACATCGCTCACCTGAGAAACTTTGGTGATGCCGTTCTTTTCCAGATTTCCCCACTTGTAATACCTATTGTGGCCCCGCCCACCTCATTGATTTTGACAATTTTAAATCTTCAATACCCCAGGATGCTTCCACATAAGTTTCAGCTTATTTTGGTTCAGTGGTTCTTGAAATGAAGAATTTTTAATGACCCCAACCTATTAAGGAGACGTGGTCCTTCATTCTAACAATGCAAACGTCCAATAACAGAAGGATGCTTTGTACCAAGTTTTGTCAAAATTGGCCCAGTGGTTCTTGAAAAGAAGTTGAACATGTTAAAAGTTTACAGACGAACAGACAGACGGAGAGCTAGACGGACGACGGACGATGGGTGATCAGAAAAGCTCGCTTGAGCTTTCCACTCAGGTGAGCTAACTAAAAGCTTACTCTACATCGTATTTTTTTTTAATCTGATTTTATCTCTTTATTTTGAATGCAAAACATGAGATAAGAGGCCCATGGGCCACATAGCTCACCTAAGTAGCTTTGACCATGCTTTTCTTTACCAGATTTCCCCCTAGTAAAACATATTGTGAACCCACCCTACCCCACAGTTCATAATTATGTACAATTTAAAATTTACACTACCCAAGAATGTTTTGGCATAAGTTTCAACTTTTCTGACCTAGTAATTCTTGAGAAGAAGATTTTTAAAGATTTTTCTTCTTTATCTTATGTAAAACTTTGTTTCTTTATTGTGCCCCCGCCCTACCCCCGGGGTCATGATTTTTACAATTTAGAATCTACACTACCCCAGGATTCTTCAATAAAAGTTTCAGCCTTCCTGGTCCAGAGGTTCTTGAGAAGAAGATTTTTTAAAGATTTTTCCTATCTGTTTCTATTTGAAAACTTGGATTCCCTATTGTGGCACCGCCCTACACCCAAGGGTCAGGATTTTAACAATTTAGATTCTACACTACCCAAGGATGCTTCCACATAAGTGTCAGCTCTCCTGCCCAGTGGTTCTTGAGAAGAATATTTTGATTTTTCCTATATATTTCTTTTTAAACTTTGATTCCATAGTTTGGCCCCGCCCTACTTCCGGGGGTCATGATTTGAACAATTTAAAATCCACACTACCCCAGCATGCCTCCACATAAGTTTCAGCTTTTCTGGCAGGGTGGTTCTTGAGAAGAAAATTTTTAAAGATTGTTCCTGCATAGTGCTTTGCAAAACTTTGATTCCCTAGTTTGGCCCCGCCCTATCCCTAGGGGTCCTGAATTGAACAATTTAGAATTTACACTACCCAAGTATGCTTCCACATAAGTTTCAGCTTTCCTGGCCCAGAGGTTCTTGAGAAGAAGATTTTCCTATTCTATATATTCTATGTAAATCTTTGACTCTCTATTGTGGCCCTGCCCTACCCCCGGGGGTCATGATTTGAAGAATTTAGAATCTAAACTATCCCAGCATGCCTCCACATAAGTTTCAGCTTTTCTGGCCTAGTGGTTCTTGAAAGAAGATTTTTTAAGATTTTCCCTATATATTTCCTTGTTAAACTTGGATCCCCTATTATGGCCCGGCCCTAACCCCATGGGTCATGATTTGAACAATTAAGAATCTACATGTGCACTACCCCAGCGTGCTTCCACATAAGTTTCAGCTTTCCTGGCCCAGAGGTTCTTGAGAAGAAGAATTTTTAAGATTTTTCCTATTCATTTCTATGTAAAACTTTGACTCCGTATTGTGGCCCCGCCATACCTCCGGGGGTCATGATTTGAACAATTTAAAATTTACACTACCTACCCCAGCATGCTTCCATATAAGTTTCAGCTATTCAGGCCAAGTGGTTCTTGAGAAGAAGATTTTTTAATGACCCCACTCTATTTTCGTCTTTTCTTGATTATCTCCCATTGTGAAGGGACTTGTCCCTTCATTTTACAATTTAAACTCACCTTCACCCAAGGATGCTTTGTACCAAGTTTGGTTAAAATTAGCCTCGTGGTTCTTGAGACGAAGTTGAAAATGTGAAAAGTGTACAGACGGACGGACTGACACACAGACGGATGGACAGACGGACGGCCGACGAACAAGCTGTGATCAGAAAAGTTCACTTGAGCATTCGGCTCAGGTGAGCTACAAATGAAAACTAACATACTTTGATTACAAAATGTTCCCTTCCACCCAGACGTGCATGCAAGACAGATACCACTGACAATGTGACATCTTTGACAATTAACAGGGCATGGGAGGGAGCAATTACTGCCAAAAACTCCTGAACTTTTACAACCTAGACGAATGAGTATAAACCGACAGATAATTCATGCATTCATATATTATTTAGAAATTATTTAAAGTATTCTTCTTCAACTTTATACATTTAAGTTTACCTTTCTTTAAGATGTTTTAATTATAGCACATCCAATAAAAACGAATGAATTTTTTTGTCTTGAACAGAAGAAGAATACAAAGCACGAAAAAAAACAAGAGGCCCATGGGCCACATCGCTCACCTGAGTAACTTGTGTGATGCAATTCTTGACCAGATTTCCCCTCTTGTTATACCTATTGTGGTCCCCTACCCCTCTCCCCTGTCATGATTTTAATACTTTCGAATCTACACTACCCCAGGATGCTTCCACATAAGTTTCAGCTTTTCTGACCCAGCGTTTCTTGAGAAATTTTTTTAAAAAAATATTTCTATATATGATTTTTCCTACAAGTATCTATTTCTATGTAAAACTTGGATTACCTATTGTTGCCCTGCCCTACCCCTGGTGGTCATGATTTTAACAATTTAGATTCTACACTACCTAAGGGTGTTTCCACATAAGCTTCAGCTTTCCTGGCCCAGGATATATATTCCCTGTACATTATGGCCCAGTTCCTATATATTTCAATCTATGTATAACTTGGATTCCCTACTGTTGCCCCGCCCTACCCCTGGGGGTCATGATCTTAACAATTTTACATTTATACTGCCCGAAGATGCTTCCACAAAAGTTTCAGCTTTCTGGGTCCTTTAATTCTTGAAAAGAAGATTTAAAAAAAAAATTCTATATATTTCTATGCAAAACTTGCATTTCCTATTGTGGCCACGCTCTACCCCTGGGTGTCATGGTTTATCAGTTTAAAAGCTACATTACCCAAGGATGCTTCCACATAAGTTTCGGCTTTCCTGGTCCAGTGGTTCTTGAGAAGGAGATTTTCAAAGATTTTTCATATCTGTTTCTATGTAAAACTTGTATTCCCTATTGTGGCCCCGCCCTACCCCCGATGGTCATGATTTTAACATTTAGATTCTACACTACCCAAGGATGCTTCCACATGAGTCTCATCTTTCCTGGCCCAGTGGTTCTTTAGGAGAAGATTTTGATTTTTCCTATATATTTCTATATTATACTTGGATCCCCTATTGTGGCCCCGCCCTACCCTCAGGGGTCATGATTTTGACAATTTTAAATCTACACTACCAAAGGATGCTTTCACATAAGTTACAGCTTTCCTGGCCCAGTGGTTCATATGAAGAAGATTTTTATATTTCTTTGTAAAATTTGGATTCCCTCTTATGGCCCCGCCCTACTCCGGATCATGATATTATCAGTTTAGATTCTACACTACCCAAGGATGGTTCCACATAAGTTTCAGCTCTCCTGGCCCAGTGGTTCTTGAGAAGAAGATTTTTTAATGACACCTACCTATTTTTGTCTTATCTTGATAATGTCCCCTTGTAAGGGGATTTGGCGCTTTTTTGACAATTTAAACTCACCAAAGAATGCTTTGTACCAAGTTTGGTTAAAATAGGCCCAGTGGTTCTTGAAGAGAAGTCGAAAATGTGAAAGGTTTACAGACGGACGGACAACGGACAAAAGGTGATCAGAAAAGCTCACTTGAGCCTTCGACTCAGGTGAGCTTAAAACAGAAAGACAAACTATAATAAGCACACAAAAGATACACAAAGGGAAGGAGAGATTTCAAGAAAATAACCAAGAAGTGGATTACAAAGATAAGATGGGGGAGGGGTCTGGAAGAGAAATGCAATGGAAATTTGCAAGAAATACAGAATCGAAGTCAATCAAAATTTAAAGAGACAGCTTGCAAGAAGGAGAAAGTGTTGCACACGAGAAAAGAAAGACATAATGGGAGAAAAAGACACATTCTGATTGATACCAATAAAGATTGCATGATTGTTGTTCAACGGCACTCTCGAGAATTTTTTCACTCATATGGAGACGCCACCGCTTGCCGCTGGACCCCTAAAATTTTGACCTATACCCGGGACTCAGGAGTCATTTAGCAGTGAGGGATCTTTTCGTGCCAGCACCTTCTGCAACATAGGACCTCGGTTTATATGGTCTCATCCGAAGGACCGGTCTCCACGTCCCACAGTGGGATTTGAACCCGCGACGTAAGGATCATCTCCTTCCTTTACGTCTCTAGAGAAAACAACTTAACCACCGCGCCACGCGGGCACGATACCAATAAAGAAATAAAAAACAGACCGCAAAAATATCATTAGTACAGAAAGAGAGCACAAAGAAGCATAACGCTTTCCTCTGTATTTCTTGACAATTTTACTGTGAACATGTAACAGTGCAATGAGTAGACTGTAAGAACTATGTATTTGGTATAAATATTTGCACACCTTTTACAGTTACTTCACATAATTCTGTATAGGAATCTTCATGGTATCCAACAGGGTAATTTGTCCTTGGATGTCTTTCATTGACGTAGATGATGAATCGTCCATTTTTGATACAGGTTGTTGTGAAATCAAGTGGAGGAATTTCTGTCTTGTTATTGTAGCAGGCATATCCATCTCCTATTTCAGATGTATTAGAGACAAACAAAGAAAATCCGGCAAATCGTCCACGTTGTCGGTCAACTGAATATATAATGTTTCATCTTAATATCAAGTCTTATTTATTTACAACTATGAGGTATTTGTTAACTTTTTCAAGAAAAAAATATTTCACCAAATAATTGTCAACGTATCTCTGAATGAATATAACACTGGGAGAAAAGCAGTTTCAAAAAGGTTTATTATGATGTCAAATTTAAAGCTTTTTCGTATGAATACTGTATACAGGGAAATTTTCGCCCCCGTTTTATTTTCGCCCCTTTCGCCCTTACCTCATTAGGGCGAATTTAAAACGGGGCGAATTCAAAAAATTCAGTATAATTTCTTAAACAAAACTACGATTAGGCAAATCTAAAACGGGGCATATTTGTTTTACAGTGTGAAAGGGCGAAAATAACACGGGGCGAAAATAACCCTGTATACAGTATAAACTTACGTTCTGTAGATCCATACCCTTTGAACTGTATCCTTACATTATATATGCTCAGAATGCTGCCCAGATCGACGTACCACTTGACCACATTATCCGAATAGGTGAAAGGACGTATTACTTTTGTTTTTGTACATGACGTCATATCGCCATCCACTGCATTGTCGGCTGTGTAATCTTTACAAGTATCGGTACAGAACCATGTGAGTGTTTGGGTTGCGGAGCGATTGTAAGATAAGTTGTCTGAAAAACAAATTGCATTTTCTGTTATTGAAATTCACCATCCTCATATATAATACACTTCTGAATCCAAGAGATTATTGTAACTCTAAAGAAGACCCGCTCACTTTCTTCTACATTTGTTAAAACCGTACTGCTTAAAAAAAATAAATTAAATGTACATACAGTGGCTGGAACGTTATTGTTGACAACTTACACGAACGATCACGTTACACGAACGATTCCGCACGATTAACGCACGATTAAACCTGTTACACGAACGATCTTTCACGTTCACGATTCTACACGTTACACGATCTTACACGATTGTTAACGCAAACGCACGATTCTTCACTCAAAATAGTTCAAAATATTTAGGAATCAATATTTTCAAAACGAAATACGGCTTAATACTTATTTAAGATTTCAAAGAATTATCAATATTATTTCATAGACTTTAAAGAAAAAAACGGAAAACGATATTTCTGCAACTAAATAGATGCAAGACTTAATATTTTAGATTAAAAATAATTATTTCTAAGGTAATTCTCCGATAAAAAAACGGATTTTTTTTTCGTTCTAACAGACGATGTACATGTATGTGGGTCGTATAATTTGACTGAATTGGATATCATGATATGCAGAAAGGGGGATACGATTGAACAAAAATGGCAGCATGGAATGACTTAAATTATAATTACAAATTTTATCCTTATGTTTCCAATGATTCAATGTCTGATAAACTTGCCAATTATTCATTTTTTTTTTATTTGCAGACATATGAAATTAATTATTTACAAATAGGCTCAAGAGATAAACACAGATAATTAAAACTCCCGAAAATCATGCCGTGTCCATGTCTATTTGTCGACTTACTAGTTACGTAAGCATTGAGAAATGTTTATTTCTTTGTAAAAAAAAATATATTTATTTTCAATGAATTGATTTCAAGATTATCTTGACCACAATAAGAAGTAAATGATAATTAAAATCAGATTTTTCAAAAAGGCGTAAAAGATCTAAGCGCGGTTTATCACAATATTGATCGCGCTATTTGACGAGAACTTAATATTGTACGACTTACTATATTGCTTGCTTACGGGCGATAATTAGTTCGTTCTGCACTCTATTATGTAAATTGCGCTTTTTCATTTTATTTGGAATTAAATTAATAAATTAAGAAAAACAAACCAGGGAAATGCTTATTTTACAAATGACATTCCGATAAAAACTTACAAAACGAAATTTACACGATTCGAAACGCACGATCTCGTACGATTAAAAACGCACACGATTGAGTCTGATACACGAACGATCTTGCACGTTACACGAACGATCACTCACGATACACGAACGATTCTACACGATTGGTTTGTCAACAATAACGTTCCAGCCACTGTATGTAAAGAATGCTCTTGAGTATCGAATCAACTGAAAGATATAAATCTCGTATGCAAGTGATGAAGGAATATTGCTGGGTGAGTAAGGGAAGTAAGGGATTAAAAAATTCAAGACATCACGTTTATCATATAGCTAGGTTGTAAGATTACCATTAACGTCTTCTTCGAGTAAAATGTCCAAATATGAAACAGTTGTGTCAGACCCCATAGTATCTTTTATCTCAAGCTCACTGGGATATGTCGTATCGACATAAGAATGTAAATTAACATTCTTATTTGATGGTGTTTGTTATTGTCAATGTACATTAAATTAATATATTTAATGCATGTCAGGTAAAGAACGTGTTTAAGAATACATGACTGCAGGGAAGTTTTTTTTCATACATGTATCGCTATTTCAATAAATCTATTTATGATACTTCATTTCAAAGGGTCTTCATTTTATTTTTATGAAGAGAGGGTGGAGTAACCAGATACCGGTATTTCTTTAAACAATACAGGGAAGATTTAACGTTTAGAGACAAAAAAAATACCGGTATATAAAATGTAAAATCATATTTGAATATATTTGTGGAAGTCAAAAACCCATTTAAAATTTCGAAACTTCAACAAATGATTTAAATCGATATTGCTATTTCAACGTGAGTTCAATGACTATTTAATTGAAGAAGGAAAAAAACATAAATAAACTTTCAGAGAAAAGTCATTTTTGTCATTAAAACGCCTTTTAATTTCCTGGACTTGTTAACATTTTATTGAGATACTATAATTTTCTGCCTTTCCATAAGTCATTTTCTTATTTTCAAATGTAGATCAGAAGATGATGGTTCATGTCTGTTCCGAACGTGCACATTCAAAAACTATAACGTAAATGTAAATTTTGTTTTGAAAATATTGTTTTCTTTTTCTTGTTATAGTTGGATGTAAAATTAAATGTAAGAAAAGTACTGCGATAATAACAAAATTTGAAATCCAGTATAACAAACAAAAGGCCTAACTTGTGGTAATTGCAATAAGTATGAAACTCTTCATTGTAAATTGCGATTTTACCAATCATAACTAGTATCATACAGCCACTGTGAATGGTTGGAAGCCAATGCTCTCTTCTCTATTACCTTGGCTAACATCTGGCCTGGGGGCCATAAAACTTAGACGAGCTCACTTTTGATCTCAGTCTCACTTTTCCACTATATATTCCTTTGGAAAAAGTGAGACTGAGAACAAAAGTGAGCTCGTCTAAGTTATATGGCCCCCAGGCCTGATGTGTTAGGGATCTGCGTCTGCTTTGCTCTGGATTTATATTGCTTAGATGGACTTTTGAACTTGAAAAATGCTTGTTAAATCCATTTTTCAACGAAAATGTTGAAAAAAGTCCTCATTGCTGAAAGGTCCTTAGAGCCAAGTGAAGATCTATGCCGGCAAAAGGTAATGCTTGGATATTGGTAAAAGATATTTAATTATCGATAAACAAACAAACCTAACAAACATGTACACATCAGTATCCTTAAGTTTAACGTGTTCCTATATGTATATGGTATACACCTTATAAGAAAATTCTGTAGAGAGTGTTGACATGTCATATACACCAGGTCTTATATAAAAAAGTAAACCTTACACTACTTCTCTGTCTTTTACAATCATTTTCGCTAATGCTGAATAATGTGATGAACTACTTGAAAATGTTAACAAAAATGAATCACTTTTTAAAACTCTACAACTTAGGCGAGAAAAAAAAACGTACCGTATCCAAAGGAAATTATTATTTTCGCTAAAAATCCTAATGTTACAAAATTCATTATCTCAGTTAGTAGAGAACACTTCGCTGCTTTAAGAAAAAAAACTAACACAGTGTAACATTGATAAGGAAGTTTCACATAATGCGTCAATGAAAGGTGGATATTCAAAGTATTATTTGAATTCAATCAAAATACTGTCGGTAATTTGTTTTCATTGTTCACTTATTCATAAACTTCATAAACTTCCTCAAACAATTACTTCATATATTTGCAACTATCATACCTAATATGTTAACTGATTCATCTATTTCTATCTATTTTTTGTCGTCGTTTTTTTTCGATTGGTGTGTTTTGTCTGTTGGCAATACTTTTTTTTATTTTGAGATTATTTTCTTAAATTCCTGAAATAGTTTAAACCAAAGTTTGGAGGAAGCATCTATGAGTAATGGAAAGCAAATTCTATAATTCCTTAAATGGTGTCTGATTCTTTTGTATTAAAGGTGCTTGCTAAATCTATTAACATCAGTGCTCTGTTTTCCCTATATCTATATAACATCAAGGAGCCAATCCGTTAGTTTGATTACTATATGCTACTATTTTATTTTCTAAAGACCAATCCCTGGAGTCATAGCTGAGACTTCATGAAAATTCCAAATGCAGAATATATAAGACCGGGTATAAATATGCCAAAAAAAGATGCGACTTGCTGAAGGAATATGGGTTCTTAATCAACCTCACATTTTATACGTTTTATTATGCGTACATGTATATATAAAATAATTTGCGTTCATACTAGTTTTAATCATGTACCAGTCTTCCGGAAAATCGGGGGGGGGGCTGAAAAGGGGAAGATAATGTGTAGTTTACCCCTTCTTATTTAAGATTAATTGCGAGTTAAAAAACGGAATTACCCTAAAAAAAAACAAGATACGTTTTAGCCATACATGTATGATGAATTTCCTAATTCTCCTGTTACCGTAACAACATATTTTGCACAATTACAGGGACAATTCCTTAATGGCGAACTTAGCGAAATTAAATCCACCGCAAGGCTTTCCGTTTATACAGTATCTTTACCCATACGAATACTTTGTGCAGATATCTTCACCTGTATTTGGAAAATTCGTCCATTGGTATGGTATACGGAAAAATTTTGGGGTTTTTTTTTCAACATAAAAGATGCAATTGACTTTTTAAAATGGGAAATTAAATATTAGGTCGCACGTTTTAGAATTTAGATTCCAGTTCATATTAACACTGTATTGATTCAAATAATACTTTAAAATGATTTTTAAAAATGTCATACTTATAAATTGTTGACAATCGTAGAGTTATTAAAACACAAAACATTTTTTTCCTTAATATAGGTTATGCAGATTGAAAAAAGTATATGCTGTAGAAATGTTGATGGAGTATTGTTTTATGTAATTGCTAACAATTGAATGAAAATGTTTGTCAGTTTACATTACCCCGGGAATTTTTCTGTATAACGGGTTTCGACCAGGGCGTTTATGAATTATGCTTGTTAATTTCTCAAGAACTCCTCAAGTATTTCTCAGTCCTTATTCTAATTAAAAATCTAGTCTCCTGCTAGGCTACGTCTTGATCTATCATTAAATGAATTTCAGTTCATTTACATAATTATGGTCTATGGTCCTATGATTCAGAAAGTTAATTTCGTTAAAAATGATTCATAAAAAAATTTCAAAATATATTTAAGTAAAAAATAACTAACCCATCAAGATTTTGAATTCATACTCTGATTAACTTCTTTTCCGTCGTAAAAATTATCATACATATTTACCCGACCTCCCAGAAAAATGAATATAACAAACCCCACTGAAATATGAAGCTTGCCATTTCCACACTTAACAGACCAGATTTTGATTATTATGCACTTTTTAACTGGACCATATTTCTTCTCCAAAATTGATTACATGTAAATGAAATTCTGTCTGGTACAAGTATAATCCCTGATTTTGAAAATTGGATGATTTAATATGAAATGTACATAAATTTTATTTTGATAACGGAATATGAATATAAGCATTTATTAACTAAATAAAATCTCAGCTTTACAGAAGATTGATTGATTGATTGTATATTGTTTAACGTCCCTCTTGAGAATTTTTCACTCATATGGAGACGTCACCGATGCCGGTGAAGGGCTTCAAATTTAGACCTATACTCGGCACTCAGGGCCATTGAGCAGTGAGGGTTCTTTATCGTGCCAACGCCTACCGTGACACGGGACCTACGTTTTTAAGGTCATATCCGAAAGACCCGTGACTTTCACTTCTAGTGCCGAGCGCTTGGCGAAGGAACAGTCACTACCTTTGTTTACGTCTTAGGTATGACGCGGCGCCGCGATCGAGAATCGAACCCGGGCCTCCCGATCACGAAGCGAACGCTCTACCACTAGGCTACCGTGACCGGTACTTTACAGAAGATAAGATCTTTAGCCTTTACGGTAGAAAATTTATGAGGCGATATGGAAACATGAACATGTATTTTGAAAAATGAATACTACTTTTTTTATCGAAATTAAAATCTCCTTCATAAAGACGCCACTTTAATTGTCCACTTTTATTCAAAGGTTTTTTTTAGTCCATCCAGAATGAATTATCTTTTTTAAAATTCTAACTAGCTACATAAAAAAACTACAAGATATATACTACATGGATAAACATGTATAAATCAAGGTTATAATCGAAGTGTGATTTTTTGAAACAGTTCTACTTAATGCCTTTCTCAAGTACACAGATCATCATTGTCATATTTGGTGTAACCAGCAAGTGCACTTTTATCCAAAAATGACTGATTCAGTGCAAAATTTGACATTAGTTCTTAAGCCAATGTTCTTACAATGAAATATATATGGAAATAAAGAACGGTTTCCAAGCATAAAAGTTCCTTTAACAATACAAATTTAAATGGCGCAGAGCAAACACAGACCTACAAATCATCAGAGGTGGGATCAGGTGCCATGGAGGAATATGCATCTCTTGTTAACCAGTCACACCCGCTCCTTGTTAAAATCGGGAAATAAAGGGGGAAATATGTCGACAATTCAGTGTGTAAATAATGACCTAACAATAAGTATAAAAAAACGTCATTGACCATTTGACTTAATGATAAATTGTTTAACCTGACAGTTTACAACAAGAAGTCTTATAATGAAGCTATGGTAATAGAAATTTCCGAATTTCTTCCAAGATACTCTTTAGTTTTACTTTGAAATAATAATAACAGTCATTTTCTGAAATATTAGATGTGACTTTGAATGTTTAAAGGTCTTGCGTAGAATAAGAATAGCTTTTAGAAATGCTAATTTCCAAACGGCCAATCAAAAGATTTGAGAGTTTAAGAGTTTTATTTTTTTTCAAGTTGCCAGATGTCAAGATGTCTTTTGTTTTATTTATTATGAAGAAAGAAAAAAAAGCAAAAAAGTTATTCATTTTGATTAAACTGAAGTTTACAAAATTGCGATTTCATTTTTTCTGAAAAGTTTAGGAATTTCTTTCGAAATTAATCGAATAATTTTTTTTTTTATTTAGAATCCACATTTCATTTATATCACTTTATCGTTATGGAGCGTATTCTCGCAAATGTGTCTCAAGTTTTTCTTATATAGCAGATTATACTTTGGAAAACAGTAATGCTATACACTTGAAAAAAGAGTAATGGTATGGACTAGGGTTTATATATTACTTGAACTTCAATTAATCTTTGATTTCTGAAAATTCAGAAATCCAGTAAAATTATGTGTGAAATTATTCTAAAATAACTTGGTAAATAGTATTTCGGATATTAAGCTAATATTGTTTTTTTTTTTCGTTTTTTTTTTTTTTTTTTTGGTTTGTTTTATTGTCAAATTAAGACAAAAGACTATCATTTCATTATATTGTAATGACACGTGAGAATACTAAGCACTCCAAATTGCAATGTAAATACCACGATCGTGCAAACAAAGAAGTCTAAAGATATTGCACTTCGTAAATTATGGTAAAATGATTCAAGAATAATTAATATAATTTGATAATTATATAATAATTATACGGATGCCAAAATAATTATTACAACCAGCATTCGTCTTAATGATAAATTGAAATTGCTGACAAGGTTATTGTATCATACATATAACTTGCAAAAAATGGTTTAACAAAGCTGTTAATATCCTTATTTCATGATCATTTTGTTTGTCAAAAGCTTACCTCGTTTTAGAAAATATTCGTAGGTAGAGCATGCTTTTGTGTATCAAATCAACTACGAGATTTCACTCGAATTATTGATTATTGTTTAACGTCTTATTTGAGATTTTTTCTCATACAGTATAGAGACATCTCTATGTATCGGTGAAGGAAATCAATTTTAGGCCTTTACTTGGCACCCAGGGCCACTGAGCAGCAAGGGATGCTAATCGTGCCAACGTCTGCTGTGACAGGGGGCCTCGTATTTTAAGGTCTCATCCAAGGGACAAGCGTCCTTCACTTCATATAACGTGCCAAGCACTTGCCGAGGGACAGTTATTATTAATTTGTATCGACTTAAGTCAGTTTCCGTCTTGATTCGAACACTCGACCTTTTGATCACGGAGCGAGAGTTCTAGCCATCTGGCTACAGTGACGGTTATATTAACTCTTTATACATGTAAGGGTATAGTGCTAAAAAAGTAAGGAAAGTTGATAGAAGATGAATTAGAGTCATTACAATTAACAATAAGTTATTTCATGTTTTAAATTAACGTCTTTTTTTTATCTAAATATACAAATGTGAAAAATATGTGTACTTGAAATAATGGATCTGGAAAGTTATTATCAATAAGTAATATATTGTTATGATTACTTTAATTTTATTTTCTAATTTTTTCCTGCAATTAACACATAAATGTATGAAGAAGAATCTATTCCATTAATTTATCACAAGAAGATGCCTTTCATTTCCAGCAATCATCAACATGTTTAAAGATATTTGAACCTTTTAATTGTTATACATCATAACCACTGTAAATAAAGCAGTTAAGATATTATTTCGAATGTCCTCCACAAATCACTTAGATGGATCTTTTGAAAATCTGATGTTCTCTTCCATCGCCTGAAAATAATGATTAATTGGTTAGAAAAAAAAAGTAGATCAATAGTTTAGGTATACAGAGAAAATCTGAATACTAGCAAAAATACTTTAAAAAATATTTATTACTTCTTAAAATTTATTTTTACTTCTTCGAAATCAGTTATGAAAAATTAAAAGGCAGCAACAAAATAATAATATGAGGAAAAATAGTTAAAAAGTAACAATTAAAAACAAAAAAACTCCACTCTAAGTCGACTGAAAACTATTTGAACGGTTGGGAGCAAGTCGCTTTCCTTCAGTGTACATGTAATAAATCTCTCTTTACCGGTATAAGTACTAGAGCGCGGATCATTCGAAAGCTCTACATGTATTTGTTATCAAAGTAGGTCAAACGTCAACCTTTCCGTTCTGTACTATAAATAATCACCAAGATCACCCACCACCCAAGTGATCTAAAATGTTGTTGGTAAACTTTTCCAAGAAAAACTATTATAGTGTTGAAAATAATTACTTTTTATAACGCAAGCTTTTGTACTTATACTCGATATAATGCATTTAATTTTTAAGTACCACATAAATATGCGTATACAAAATGTTGTACATATATTTATATTAATCGTCAAAATGATTATACTTGTAAAGTTTAATAAATACATATACACGGTTTATAAGCAAAATTATTTTTAAAAATATATTTAAAAATAAAAGACAAATTAATTTCAATTACAGACTGAAGAAAAAGATCAACTGTCATTGATTTTGTATACCAAGAATGATTAACTGCACTTATTGAATATAAGTCTCCTGAAACCTCGAATACGATAAAATATCATTAGAAATTGTTGTTGACTTTGTTTATAGTCTTTATAATTAACCGTTCAACTATGCATGTAGAATTTACATGAATATCCACGTCTGCCTTGTGTCATCCATTTAATTACAATTTACATTTCGTTAAGGCTTGAGAACGAGTGATTAGCAACTAAAATAGAAATTGCAGCTAACTATCTCTGTTCAATTTAATTCTTATCTAACTATGAAATAAACCAAGCATTTGAATTTTTAAAAAGAAAATCATATAACTCTTAATGTGATATAACAAAGTATTACAATTAAAACATATATTTGAAATAATTCTATTTTTCTTAATCCAGATTCACAAAGATGAACACAGACACGCACGAAGAGAGAGAGAGAGAGAGAGAGAGAGAGAGAGAGAGAGAGAGAGAGAGAGAGCAAAACACTTGCCTGAATCCGTTGATTCATATCTTCATACATCAAATCCATGTTTGAGTAGCATTTCTCCAATGTCAAAATCCTGACATTTCGCTCGTTCATCTCTTTGATACAGTAAATCCATAAATCAAGTATAAAATCGTTTTTTTCTTTTAACCTTTCTGAATAGTCATATTAATAATAAAGTTATATTTTTTTTTTATAAATTCACTTTTTTTCTATAATAAGGCAAACTATTTCATTTTTATGTTAAGATGAAGCATTTAATATTTTTTCTCCTTTCAAATGATAAAATGCAAAAATAACGAAAATTGGTCATACTCCAAGTCTTTTTAAAGTGTATACAAATTGCGAAAATTGTCATAGTCGAACATATATACAGAGATGGGACCCAGTGCCATAGATATATAAACATTCTTTCCGACAAATAGCATCTGATTGTGTCCCTTGTCATGATCGGTTCTTAGCAATTCAGTTTTTTAAAGTCATGAATTGGAAAGATATATTGTAGTACACGTACTATATACTTTTTTTTAATTGAATTGAATATTTTATTGAACAAAGTCAAAAGGATCGGACACAAGTTCAGTAACTTAGATAGTCCTCTCCTAATACAACATTTTGTTAAATTGCCAAAATAAAAAAAACATATATACATATGGTCTATTACATACATTGTATACATCGTAGCAAAAGAAAGGAAAAAAATAAATTCTTTAAATTTACAAATATAATTTGAAATAGTATGAGAAAAAAAGTAAACTTATTTTGAAAAGCGACCACATTCATTTAAGAAAGTTTGAATAGTCTTGAAAAGTTCAGCATTTCGTTCAATAGCAAGAGAATCATCGCCCCATAGCATTAAATGTACATCTATTACATGTAAATAATTGAATGACAATAGCTTATTCATTAAGGAATTTCTTGCTTTTACATAATATTTACAAACAAAGAACAAATGATATGCATCTTCTAGTAGTCCACAAGAACAATTAGCACTGGTAATTAGGTTTAAAGCGATTTAAGTCAGAATTTAAAATACTATTATGTCTTTATCTTGTATGAATTATATTCAAAAAATCCGTTTCCATAAGAAAATTATTTCGGAGGTTTTACATTACGTTTTTGCAGAGAGTTTTTCAAAATTTTGATAGAAGTTGCCTCCCTTGTTTTAAGACTAAGGGAATTCCACTTCCTAACAATATCGGGAATAAATAATTTATTATATAGTTTTAATCTGTATTTTGGCAAAGAATAATTTAAAGAAAACCGGATAATGTATTCTGAAATATTGCCTCTTGTGTCAGGTACTAAGTTTTGATAATAATTAGGTACTAAATTATTGTGCATTTTATACATTGTTATTAGTGTTGCCCTATTTCTTCTATATTCCAATGGTTCCCAACTTGTTTCCAAATATAATGAATTTCTTGAAGAGAGAGAGAGAGAGCCCAGTAACTATTCTTGCAGCAAATAATTGTACTTTTTCAAGATTCTCAATATCTGTTTTTGTGCATCCAGACCAAATTTCAACAGTATATTCAAGTTGTGGTCTAATAAAAGATATATACATCTGGGATAGAATATCTCTTGACACAGTCAATTTTAGTTTTTTTAAAAAAGCCCCTGTTTTTGTATGCTTTCTTTGTAATGATATCAATATGATCAGACCATTCTAAGTTGGACAACAAAAGTATCCCAAGATGTTTGTGTTCTCTAACATATTCCAATGGGCAATTGTCAAAAATAATTTAGGAAAATGCTGTACATTTTTTAAATTAAAAAATACTGCTTTAGTTTTCTGTGGGTTAAATTTCAATAACCATTTTTTTTACCATTCATCTAGTATTCTAAGATCATGGTTAAGATTTTTTCCAATATGATTAATATTATCTGAACATTATTGTAAAGAACTTTTTTCAGAGATATTCTTAAAAGATATATTTCATACAGCACGTCTAAGTATTCTAGCTGGCTTTAGCTAAAGTCGTTGCAAATTCCTTAAATTTTTAAGTTGACAGAATTTTCGTATTTATCACATCTTGTAATATGTTACCTTTGATAGTAGTTAAATAATACTTATACGTGTTGCATAATTGTGCACTGATTTTACTTACAGGCTTTCCAAACTTATTGGACGGTTTTGAGTCTTTTCCATACATTGATTGGAATAATCAATTTTACGGTTATCTATTACAAAAAAAAACAAAATTGTGTGACCAGTTAACACGGGCATCTAATTTAACTTATAACAGTACAAAAGTAGTTAGAACTTACAGTTAAATGCACTTGCAGGAATCGTGTCTTTTTGTAACCCATTTCTCTCATTCTCCCCTCCGTGACCAACATTCGAACGATTAAAATCCATCTTCTCCATGTAAAAAGCAAACTTTTGAGTTCATAAAAAGTTAATAAAAATTGTATGAGAATGAACCACATGCCCATTTTCTGTGCACTATTATATTCACATTAAATGTTACGTAAAGGCAATTAACATGACTCCACACCAGGTGCATGTCTTGACAAGACGTATTGAAATGCTAATTGTCTACATATATAAGAAGACTAACAACGTATGTCTTCATTCAACATTCTGAAGGATCATTCAAACGAGGTTTTAAACTCTGAAATTATTTTTAACTCTCTCTCTCTCTCTCTCTCTCTCTCTCTCTCTCTCTCTCTCTCTCTCTCTCTCTCTCTCTCTCTCTCTCTCTCTCTCTTGAAGGAGAAAAGATTATAGGAATGAAATCAATTAAAATTTATTCTTAATCATTATTTTAATCCCTTTTTATATGTACAAAAGTCCATTAAAAATCTAGACTTTGTCATTTTTTTAAAGAATATAAGCAAATTTGGTTCAATTTTAAAATGATTCAAATAATCTAAGTCAAAAATGAAATATTTCTTGATACCTATCAGAATTTTCAGATATCTTAAATGTTAAACAGTAAAAATGAGGTAATTACTATTTATACACTTTTTAATGTATATAGTCCTACCTTTAAAAAAATGGCGGTAAAACCAAATAAAATTTAAATGTTTAAATCTAGGACTGCCTTATTACTTCAAATGCTAAAATGCTATAATGTTATACATGCACATTGGTTCATATCGATTTCTAAGGATAGAGGTTCTTCACAAAAAGCAAATTTGATCAACATTTTTAGATTCAAATAATTAAAGTAAACAATTAGAATACTATTTGATATCTATCAAAGAACTATATGCGGTATATTGCATATACTTGCCCCCATAAAAGTAAAATTTTGAAAACTTCCTGAAATGTGCTGAATTCAATAAATTGTATGAGAAAAATGAGTTAACAGAAAATATTATAGTTTCAAAGCAGTTTATTCACAATTTTTGTATATATTCCAAAATACCGATTTTATATCTATTTTAAAAGAGGACAAAATGGACAAAATTTCAACAATTTTAGCTTTAAAATTTATAGAGGGCAAGTTTGTTTAGGAACAATATTTACATATTTCATTGATATTATCATTCTACATATTATATCAAAATATTGATCCTGAAAATGCGGTGATGTCAAAATATACGAAATATGTACATTTTTCTGTAGAATTCATAAAAAACTGAAATTTACGTCATGTTTTGGTTCTTCGTACAAAAAGCATTAATTATGAAAATATCAACATGCTTTGAAGTCAGCATATACTACCCTGTTTCAAAAACTTAAATAAATATACAATTTAAGTTTATTTGCAAATATTGGTTATTCAAAATCTATCAAAGATGTAAACGAGCAAAAATCACTTATATTTACTTATTGTACACTTTGTAATGTATATAGTCATATCTCTAAAAACGAAATAAAATTAAAAGGTTTAAATCCTATACTGTTCTATTACTTCAGATGCTTTTCTGTTATGTGATATATTAGTTCATTGTTTAAAAGATGTAAATTTCTAAAGATGGATACACTTCAAGAAAAAGCTTAAAAAACAATGGCGTCTAATGACGTCAGAGTGCAGTAGTAGCGATACAATTTTGCTTTGAAATCGGCGAACCTATAAAAAAAAGCTTGAGGAAAACGGAAATGTATAAGAAATTTGCTGTGTATTTTTATATACATAGAAAATACAGTTTTTAAGTGGTAGAGACCTTGACCTAGACGATGGACGACACAGTAGGTAGAATAGTTATTTAATATTTCCTAACAATCTAAAAAATATGTTGATTAACTATAAACGTATTCTACAGCTGATAACTCTAATATATATTATCAAGATAATTAAGGAAGGTATCATTGTTTACTTTTGGACTAACAAGGCTATAATTTACTCATCATATATAATCATCAGATGGTTTTTTTATGTAAGATTGCTAATTAGCAGAGTCAAATCAAAATGAAAACCTGAGGTTATATAATTAAATAATCTTCATGTAGGACATATGTTACATAAAAATAAACTAGATCTTTTATTTAGCATATTTTATTAGACCAAGGATTTCTCCTTTTTTCTATTTAGAGTACAAACCCTTGTTTGTTATTGGTTTGTTAGTGGGAAGGGTTGAAAAATGGTACACCTTGGTGTTATTGATTTTTACTTAAATATTCCTTTTAGTTGAGCATAGCTACATAAATATATTAATATCGTTTGCCAGGAGCCTGCATGTTTCTCTTGTTTATATTTTAGTGAAGATTAATTGATTGATTGTATATCGTTGAGCATCCCTCTCGAGAGTTTTTCTCTCATATGGAGACGCCACCACTTGCCGGGGGAGGGTTGCAAATTTTGTCCTATATTCGGCACTCAGGGCCATTCTATACTCGGCACCCAGGGCCATTGAATAGGAAGGGATCGTTTACCTGTCAGCACCTACTGAGACACGGGGCCTCGGATTGTACAGTTTCATCCGAAGGACTGATCTCCACGTCCCACAGTTGTTTCGAACCCGCGACGAAAGGATCGACTCCTTACTTCGCGACTCTAGAGCAGTCGCTCTAACCACTGCGCCACGCAGCGACTATCATTATAGTAAAGAATAAAATGTGAAGCTTGCTAGGATGATACTGGTGCCCGCTATATATCTTTGGAAGAGTTTTTATGAAGATTGAAAATCTAGTGAAGTATAAGAAAGTTTATTTTTCATTGTCTGAAATATTAAAATCAAAATTGACAATCGATTTTGAGAAAGTTTTTTGTTTGTTAGTTCGTCATACTTACCTTGACATACTGATCGTGTTATTATCTAGTTCTTTGCTGTATAAAATACAGAAGTAAAAATCTTTATATTTTCCTTCAATAACTTTATGCGCGATGTCATTATCAATCTGATACATTTAATCGTGTGTGACAGAACGCCAAAATTTTCTTTTTTATGTGTAAAATGCTGATACAAAGAATTGTCTAAATGTGTTTAATGAAAAATCCAAATAGTTTAGAATGCTATAGAAACAAAAAGAAAATACATCTACCTTCTTCTAAACACTTTTATTGTCCATCCAGAGTTTTCTGACATTATACACTATTGTTCATATTTTAGGAAATTTCAAAATTTGGTTTTTATGTCGACAGAAATAAGCTGTAAAAGCTCTTGTATTCTGGCTATGGCAAAACTTTCAAGAATTATATAGTGTTTAGTGATTTTCAATACTTAATATGTATACAAAATAGTGGGCTTGAAATTTTAGCGTCACAATTTTGTGCACACAATGATGAACTAAATAATGAATGCCACTAAGAAATCTTTAATAAATATAAATCACAGTTCAGATATGCATAGCGCTCATTCATGATTATGCCAACAACTCCATACCCAGTGATTGCTCTAAATTTTGAATACGCCAAATTATGAACTCACGGTTTGATTGGCCATATTAAATTTCGAGATATTAGGAATTCTTATTTATGTGAGTACACGAGGCCACATCACGACTTATTTATCATGTTTGAATTAGATCACCTCTGTACTACAATAAAACTCGTTTAGTTCGAACACTAATATTGCGAATTCAGGGATACAGCGAAGTTTTCTTTATCCCCAACTGAAAAAATAAAAATCCTTATACGAATGCAACGAATTACGAATATAACGTCATTTCACAGGACCCAGCGATTTTGTTATATTTCCATTTCTAATTTTATTCTCTGTCATAACTTTTTGAAAGCTAGTGAAGTTGATTTCTTGATAATTCTACCGGAATGTAAATTAGGCAGGTCGATAGTTGAGAAGCTAAGAAGGCCTAACATGCATGCAAATCTGGTGCGCATCTGTCTCTGTGTCTGACGCTAGGGAGGCCAAATATGCATGTAAATCTCGTGCGGCTGCCTAAATGTGTTTGGCGTCAGTGGGCGAGGACTATTCAAATTCACATGGGAGTCCTCGTGTAATTTAAATCAATGTTGAATTGGATGTAAAACAACATACAATCAATCAATCGACAACAATGATATTCCTTTCATTTAATTCACCTAGACAAACAGATCTGAATTCTTTTTTAAGAATTAAAACAAACATATGTATATTTTCATTTATTCATTGAGAGATTACAATGTATTCATAAAAAGTAAAAACCAGACACACCTGTTGCTACCATTAATAATACTTAACATCTTTAACATATATAGGTATATATAAAAGGGTTTGTTCCTCCATCTCGGAGAAAGGAGTTAACCTTGCGTCGCGGGTTTGACCCCCAACTGTGGTACAAGGCGCCGGTCACTCTGATGAGACCCTTCTCAGAACGTGTTGGCACAAAACCTTTTGTTGTGAAACGTCGTAAATGTCGTTTACAGAATCTTAATTTACATCCTTCTGATGGCAAGTGGTTGCTTCTTAATATGAGTGAAAATTTTTTTTGAAGTGTTGAAAACAACAAAAAACAAAACAAATAAAGGGAAAATGAAAAATGTTATTGTCCATTTTGAAAAAAAAAATTGTTCAAATGGAGTTCTTTTGTCAATCATGTGGAATAAAAATTATGCCATGAAATTCAAATATTTGTACTATTAATATAAGAAATACAAATTACAACAAATACAACACATATGAATAAAAGAAAACAAATCTGCAAACGACTTTACGCTTTAAAAAGAGTTCAACTTGTTCTGCACTTAACGGTAAAGATCGTTATAAATGGAAGTATCATGGCATGCACCACGTTACACAATGTCAGAACAATATGTATAACGGTGACTGTATTTATCAATGGATGCACGAAAGATATCATTAGTACCATCAGCATTGGAAGAGATGGAACAATTGTAGCTATGAGAAAGGACCTCAATATTTTGAAGGCTTTAAGTGTCCATGCCGGTTTAATCTTTGTAGATGGCGGCGGCGTTGTTGTTTCTGATTTGGGTTTTTCAGGAGAATTCACCTCGCCTGCTCCCGTCAATTCTGCCTTACATGTATGTCTAGTTTTTATGATAGTATCCCTTCCACTAGATCCTCTGGAGTGAGATGAACCATCCAATTTATCCCCTTGTGAAGAAACAGATCTTGGTTTTGATGGTCCGGTAGTCGATGA